ACTGCTAAGTTCTTTGCAATTCCCCAGGCATCACACACAACACATGCATTTCTTAAAACTATTTCTCTGCTAGAAAGAATTATTCTCCTAAAATACCCACCCATCAAAAAGAAACGTGACATTATTGATTTTCAGAATTCTTATTCCTGTTATGTCAGTAAGCAATACTAGAAAGAATATCAAAACCCAGAAAGAATTGGCATTGATGGTGAAAGTTGAACTTAGAAATGCAGCTGTCTAAAAGAGCTGTGTTCTAGTTGCAGAGCAATAATCCAAATGAGTAATGACTAGAGAAAAGCAAAATACAGGGAAGCCTTGCTGGGAGAAGTTAACATTTTTAAATATAGGATCAATCACATGAGCTATAGTCTATTGAGGGTTACAGATATGCTTTCTTGAGAGGGTAGTGTCTACAGTGCACAATTCTGGGCAAAACACGTATATGAAGAGACAACAGAAAGTCTTAGCAGACCAGGCACGTGAATTTGTAACTCCAACACGGATTTTTGTTTGGGGTTTTTTGTTGTTTTTTTTAGGAAAGCAACAGAAACTCAAAAACGACAATTTGATCCTTTGGCCTCTCAATTTTAAAGCAAATAGCCATTGTCATCTCCCTTTTCACTGATGCATCCAGGGTGCCTTGGACGGTCAGACTGTATTCTGTGTTTGCAACAACAGCAGATGCTCAGCAGCTGGTGAGGGGCATCTGAATGGAAAGCAGAAGCAGCTAATATTTTAAATCAGGATGAAGGCTAAGAATTTCAGGACTGACTTTTGATAGAAAGAAATGTATGTATCAGTTCTTCCAATGAATGGGATTTTGAGGCACTTCTTGGGGACTGTGGTTCTGGACTCTGGTCAGTATGACATCATGGAAGGAGCACTGGCCCCAGCACATTTTTTCTGAGCCCCCTCTGTACATTTCACCGTGTCATTTGTAAAATGGGACTACTACTCCCCAGGGTTGCCACAGCAATCACATGAGCTATTAAATGGTAAGATCTTTCCCAGCTTCCTATAAGTATGCGTATGACGTGGTCCCAGGATTTGTTCTCTGGAGTCTGAAATCTCTTTTAACCCTCCCAAGAACTCTTTGAAGTTGTTGTTCCCATTATCTAGATGAGGAAACAGAGGCTTAAAGAAAAAAGTTGCCCAAGATCACACACTAGTAACAGGGCTGGGATGAAAATTTGAGTCTGATTCCAAAACATTCTGGAACAATTGGATATGTGGTTTTCCACTTTTCTCTGAAACAGTTACCTGCTTCTTTCAGTGGCTTGTGTTCCAGCTGACAGCTCCAGGCCCCGTGTGAATAACTGTAAATCAATTCTTAGCTAGGGCAGAAGCCTTAATTATCACTGGGGGACAGACGGCTGCATCTTCCAGGAATTTGGCAGACCCCAGCAGGAGGCAACCACGGGTCTTTGGCAAAAGATCACTTTTCAACAACATTGTCAATTCCAGCAACCCCCGACCTTCCACCTGCAGGTCCCCGAACAGCTGCTGTACTGTGGGAAGCAGTGGTGGTCTGTCTTCCTTTAAAAGGCAAATGCGTACCCCCCTCCATGCGTCCTGCCGAGATCCCACCTGGGGTTTCATCCCCAGAGCAGGGGGGCATCTCCCACATCGAGAAGTTTTTTAAAAGGGGGTAGGGGGAGACAGCTTTGACAACAGACCTGAACTCTCCCTTTTAATATAAGCCAGATTTAACATATGTCATTCTGTAAATCCGGGAGTCCAATTTGAGACTTGTAATTTGCTGCAAACTTCCCTGTTCCTCAAAGTGAGGAGGAGCCGTGCCAAGCACATCAAGGTAACTGGTGGAGGATATAATTTGCCCACTCTGAGCCTGCATTTCTGTTCCCTATTGTAATTTTTATTTGTGTCGAGCTTTTGTGGTTTTAAAAAAGTCGACTCGATAGATTTATTTTAAAATTAAGGCGAACTGACATCAAAGGCAGTCAGAGGAGGATGTTTAGGTGTTATAAAGAAACCCTGTATAGTCTTCTATAGACGTATTGTTTTTCAGGGCACGTACCAGTAAATGGTTAGGGGACCTTTCACTACCAACTTGCTATATTTTTCTGACCTCAAACTACCCCCACGGGTGAAAATCCCTTTCCAATGGGATTTAGAAGCCCCCCTCTCCTCCTCTTCAGCCTCTTAATCTAATCCTGTTTGTAACTCGACATGCTGCGTGAAGAATAAGAAACGCGGGCTTAAGTCCTTTCCTACTGCACCAGCTCCTGAGATACAAGAGTCTGATTCAGCCCGTGGTTCACTTTGAGAAATGAGGAATGCTTTCAGCCCAAAAAAATGGGACCATTTGGTTCATGAGTCTTCTTCTTGGTAAGAAGAAGAAAGTTTATATTGAAAGTTTCTCTTAAAATTACAGGTGATACCTGAAGAGCTTGTTTGTTTTTTTTTTTAAAACAAATGTGTCTTTGTTTTTGCTGGGAAAGATTCGTCCTGAGCTAACATCTGTTGCCAATCTTCCTTTTTCTTTTTCCTCCCCAAAGCCGCAGTACATATTTGTATATTCTAGTTGTAAGTCCTTCTAGTTCTTCTAGGTGAGCCGCTGCCACAGCATGGCTACTGACAGACGAGTGGTGTGGTTCCACGCCTGGGAGCTGAACCCAGGCCGCTGAAGTGGACCACGCTGAACTTTAACAACTAGGCCATCAGGGCTGGCTCAAGCTTGTTTGTTTCTTAATGCTACAGGATTTTTTCAACCCATATACTTATACAGAATGTACTTATTTATCAGCTTGTGTAGGAAATGCATGTGCTTCCTCTGTTCTAGGCAATTTTAAGTGAAAGGTATAGATATATAGATTTAGATAGATATTTAGATGGAAGATAGATAGATAGATAAATAGATAGATAGACAGATAGATTTGTCCCTCAAAACAACTTTTTAAGAGAGGTGCTATTATTCCCATTTATAGGTGAGCAAATTGAGCCACACCCCTTTTCTCACTCTACAAATCTGTCTCTTTAAAAGGGAATTGACTTACACTTCTGAGCATAACTTTTACACTTTTAAGGGGTAGTGTCTTCTGTGCTCAATGTTATATTAGCATTTTTGCTTTTGCACTTTTGCTAATTAACCAGCATCCACACTGATCATCAGGGTAACTTACTGTGCCAGGAAGGCCAATGGTACCAAAACAGCATTTTCAACTATCAAAAGAGAGCCATTTATTTAGCTCAGTGTGCATGGAAATGCCCCAGTATACAGTCGTGTATCTCGGGCCGGCCCCGTGTCTCAGCGGTTAAGTGCACGCGCTCCGCTGCTGGCGGCCCAGGGTTCGGATCCCGGGCACGCACCGACGCAGGCCGCGTCCCACATACAGCAACTAGAAGGATGTGCAGCTATGACATACAACTATCTACTGGGGCTTTGGGGGAAAAAATAAATAAATAAATAAAATTACAGTCGTGTATCTCAAAGCTCCTAGTTTACCCCATCGAAAATGTGCACCACAACGGAACTGGTGGTGTATGACGTCAAGGCTCCTGAATTCACTGGGCTCGCAGTGACCGATTGCTTCTCTGGTTTTATAATACAGATGATGGCATGGGGACACCCTCAGTCATCATTATCCACAATCTTTCACTGATAGGATCCTCCCAGAACAGACTGGTTATCAAATTTCTCAATCAACATAGACCGTTGCTTGTTCTGTGAGACTGGCTATTTGTAAAGTTATGGTTCATGTTAAAAGCGATGTCAGATGTAGGAAGCCCCCTCACTTCTCTTTTCTTTCATTTTATTTAAGCACATGGGCTTTGGAATCAAGTCCTGGTTCTACCACCTGCTAACTTTGTTAATCTCAGGAAGTTATTTCACTTTGCTAGGCCTCCATTTTCTCAGCTGTAAAACGAGAATGATAAACCTATTTCCTGGAACGGCTGAGATAATTAAGTGAATTAATGTATATAAAAAACTTAGCACAATACCTGACATATGGTAAATACTAAGTTTTTAATATTATCCAACGTCTCTATGCTTAATAACATCTAAGGAGAAGGTTCAAGTACATTATAGTCTGGTGGAAAGGTGAAATATAAACAAGTATATTTGTTTATAATATAAATATAATTATAATTCTTAGTGTGAGAATTGCTCTAGCATAGTTATGTATTTTGGGATCATGAGGTGTCAGCATCTAATGTTTGAGGGAGTTGGGTAAGACTTCAAAGGGAAGGTGACACATTTTGTGGGTTCCCAACAGAATGTATGGGACACCACTTGGATCTCTGCAATAGATTAAATATAGGCTTGAATCGACCTGTCCATGAACAATAGGACCCACTTCCTTGTGGTTAACAAAAATTATGCCTTGCACCTATATTGATTTGTCTATAAAATGAATAGCTTTATTGGTAAACATATATATTGCAGAAGTAGACTTGGTTATAATTCCAGAAAATCCAAGTAAATTAATGGTATCTATACACAAGGTTAGGAATGAGAAAAACTCATAAAGACTAGATATATAAGTAATCAATAAAATACTCTAATAAATTCAACAGAAAAAATGTTGAAATTATGATTCACCATCATTCCACATAACATATTTGTGACTATATGTAATAGCCTAATTAGCAATAAAATTTTATGAGTTAACATCACCATGAGAACATTCCCTTCTACATTACTGAGTTTTATCTGTAGATTTGTAACATAACCATAATCATCTTGATATATTTTTACACATTTTATTCAATGAACCCAAATGAACTTGCCCTGATTACATTTTTAGCTGCCGATTTTGGTTTTATAAATTTGAATCCGTATACCTTTGAAGGATGTGTGTTGTTTGGGGTGGTGAAGACTTCAGATCTTCTTATAAGCACAGAGAGAAGATATATGGGAGAGAAAAATACTTTAGCAGTGGCTAAATTATCTTAAATGATTATTCATTTCACAACCTTTAACTTGAGATATTTCTCTAAAGGACTGAAAGATAATACTCCTTTCTGGATATTTTCAGAACTCCTAGTTATAACTATGCACCAAATATGGATAAACACTGGATTATGCAGTACACGGGACCCATGCTGCCCATCCACATGGAGTTTACAAATGTTCTACACCGCAAACGGCTCCAGACTTTGATGTCAGTGGATGATTCTGTGGAAAGGGTGAGCACGTGATCTTGCCTCACTGATAGGTTTTGGTCCAGCTTCCCGTGTGTAGAGCCATTCTTTCCAAGCCTGTTTTGTTGTTGCTTTGTTTTGTTTTTCATTTTAAGAGCATGTATGTGTTCGTGACTTTATCATTTCTCCCTTATATTATCCCCCTTCTGTCTACCTCTCCAGGCTTGGTTCACATGAAACCAGTGGCAAAGAGGAAATCAAAATCAAAACATCATAAATCAAGGGCTATACCCACAAATACTTTCTTCAGGAATTAAGCAAATAATGTAAAGCAAGTCCAGTATAAGACAATAGAGAATGGTGGAGATCGTGGCGAACTTGAAATTAAGTGCCCCATCTAAAGCAAGGAGTAACTGCTCAGCTCCAACTGATTTTTGCCATGTAGAAATGTGGATCCAGTATCATCAGGTCTTCTGACTTTTTAAAAGAAGCCAGAAATACAAAAATTTTATTTGAAATTTCCTGAATTTTAAAACATAATATAAGCCAAGCAAGACCTCCCTATCAGGCTCAGAAGCAGCCTGTTGTTAACCCTTGATAACTAGATATAAGAGTGATGATATTAAAATTTGCTTTAAAAATGGATTTTTCAAAGCAAAACCTATAAGTTTGGTGGTGGAGGTCCGTTTTATGGGTTTTTTTCCTAAATAGGTGAACAAAACCTTTAAGGAGAATGTACCAGATTCAGAAAAGTTACATTTCTACTGTGTCTTTAGACTTTTTCCCTCCAGGATTGTAAGCAACTAGAAAATGTGGATAGTGTTCATGTTTGTTGGCCTTATTGAAGCAACTCGTGCCTTTTAAAAATAATGGGAAAAAAGATTTGGGGGAAATTATGGCAACACTCTTGTTATCTTACGCCATCAAGATTGCTTCTGACTTGTGTCTGTGCTGTATTTCAGCTGTATAATATGCTTGTGGAAACAAGGGAGCTGGAGAACACTTACATCATTTATACTGCCGACCACGGGTACCATATTGGGCAGTTTGGACTGGTCAAGGGGAAATCCATGCCATATGACTTTGATATCCGTGTGCCTTTCTTCATTCGTGGTCCGAGTGTGGAACCAGGATCAATGTACGTATTCCTGTTGGCAACACGCAGCTGTTGTAGCTCATGTACGTCTGAGATAATTCGATTACCAATCTCAGTGTCTGGTTTCCTTTCATCCAAAACAAAAAAGGATGTATGTAGGGCCAGCCCGGTGGCTTAGCGGTTAAGTGCGTGCGCTCCGCTGCTGGCGGCCCAGAGTTTGGATCCTGGGCGCACACCGATACACCGCTTCTCCGGCCATGCTGAGGCTGCGTCCCACATACAGCAACTAGAAGGATGTGCAGCTATGACATACAGCTATCTACTGGGGCTTTGGGGGAAAAATAGATAAATAAATAAAATTAAAAAAAAAAAAAAGGATGTATGTAGGTAATTTAGAATTTGAATTTAGAATTTAGAATTAGAATTTAGAATTTGGTAATTTAGAAGATGAAAACCTTCACCTCCCCACCCTACCACCGCATGTTAAATGACCTAAAGTGTACTATTTAAAGAGAAAGGAAAAATAACTGTATCAATGATTAATTCTCTCAAATGGACCAAAATTCATGTCACATGCGCCTGTGTACACAGACACGGGATATGATCTTCAGGAACATCATCCTTACCTTCTTTGAATCAGAGATACACTGTCTTTTTTTAAAAACAATCAGTGCCATTCTCTTCATTTTTTTTTTTAATTATTACTAAGAAAAATTTTTTAAAAAGAAAATTAAATTTGAAAAGCTTTTTTTGTTTTTCTGTGAGGAAGATCAGCCCTGAGCTAACATCCATGCCAATCCTCCTCTTTTTGCTTGAGAGAGACCAACCCTGAGCTAACATCTATTGCCAATCCTCCTCCTTTTTCTCCCCAAAGCCCCAGTAGATAGTTGTATGTCATAGTTGCACGTCCTTCTAGTTGCTGTATGTGGGACG